TCTCATCAACCTTCTTACTCCTGCTTCTCCTCAACCTTCTTACTTCTGCTTCTCAACCTTCCATCTCCTCCTTCTCATCAGCCACCTTGCTCCTGCTTCTCCTCAACCTTCCTTTTACTTCTCCTCAACCTTCTTTTTGCTTCTCCTCAACCTTCTTTTTGCTCCTCCTCAACCTTCTTGCTCCTGCTTCTCAACCTTCCATCTCTTCCTTCTCCTCAACCTTCCTTCTCCTCCTTCTCCTCAACCTTCCATCTCCTCCTTCTCATCAACCTTCCTTCTCCTGCTTTTCAACCTTCTTGCTCCTGCTTCTCCTCAACCTTCCCTTTGCTTCTCCTCAACCTTCTTGCTCCAGCTTCTCAACCTTCCTTCTCTTGCTTCTCAACTTTCCTTCTCCTGCTTCTCAACTTTCCTTCTCCTCCTTCTCCTCAACCTTCTTGCTCCTTCTCCTCAACCTTCTTGCTCCTGCTTCTCCTCAACCTTCTTGCTCCTGCTCCTCATCCTTCCTTCTCCTGCTCCTCAACCTTCCATCTCCTCCTTCTCCTCAACCTTCCTTCTCCTGCTTCTCTGCCCACAGACCAGGCTGGGGCTGAGGTGGCCCAGATCCGACTGGCAGAAGGACCCAACCATTGTGCTGGGAGGGTTGAGGTTCTCCACGACCACCAGTGGGGGACAGTCTGTGATGATGGCTGGGACCTGAGGGAGGCAGCCGTGGTCTGCAGGCAGCTGGGCTGTGGCAGGGCCGAGGCAGCTCCTGGGAGGGCTCACTTTGGCCAGGGGACAGGACGCATCTGGTTGGACGACGTGGCCTGTGCTGGGAGTGAGGACACCCTCTCCCAGTGCCCAGCCCGTCCCTGGGGACAGGGGAACTGCAACCACGGAGAAGATGCCGGTGTCATCTGCTCAGGTACGTCCTGGTCCTGCAAGATGGGGTGTCCACCTTGGTTCTTCTTGCCTCTAAGTTGGTGCTAGTCCTGGAGAAGGTTTTGGGGAGGGGGATGGCAAAGGGTGAGTCACCCAGAGTCAGAGAGTGGTGGGGGCTGGAAGGAACTTCTGGAGAACATCTAGTCCAGCCCCCCGTAGAGCCTCTTTTTTGGGGGGTCGTAGCCTCTATTTCTGGCCAAGCTTGTGACAGAATCATAGAATCACAGAATGGGTTGGGTTGGAAGGACTTCCAAGATCATCAAGATCCTACCCCCTGCATGGGCAGGGACACCTCCCACCAGCCCAGGTTGCTCCAAGCCCCATCCAACCTGCCCTTCAACACCTCCAGGGATGGGGCAGCCACAGCTTCCCTGGGCAACCTTGTACCCAACCAGCAACAGGTTCCCACCCCATTCATGGCCAACATCTCATGGAAACCTTCTTCCCCTGGGGCACTAAGCAAGCCAAGCCCTGTCTTGAGGGCACCACCTGACTCCAAATCCTCGGCCTGGTCTCCATGGCCTGGTCCTCACACTTGTATGGAGAAGACACCACTATTTTAGGGGATGGAGGTGTCACCGAAGCCCATCCCTGTGGCCAAGCACCTCTGAAAGGGTTGGGGTTGCTCATCCTGGTCTCCATGGCCTGATCCAGTAACTTGCATGGAGAAGACACCACCATTTTAGGGGATGAAGGTGCAACCAAAGCCCATCCCTGTGGCCACGCTCTTCTGGAAGGGTTGAGGTGTTGCACCCCTTGCTGAGGGGGAACCATCGTGACTGGTCTTCAGGTTTGAGGCCTATTTTTTGTGGCCAGGTGTCCTCTTCTCCTTTCCTGACCAGGTTTTCTCTCCTGGCAGGTGCCAACATCACGGGAGGGGCTCAGGTCCGTTTGGCCAACGGCCCCAACCGCTGCGCCGGGAGGGTTGAGGTTCTTCACAACCAACGCTGGGGGACAGTCTGTGATGATGACTGGGACCTGAGGGATGCCAAGGTGGTCTGCAGGCAGCTGGGCTGTGGGACAGCCGTGGCAGCTCCTGGCCATGCCCACTTTGGCCAAGGATCTGATCCCATCTGGCTGGACGACGTGGAAGGCCGAGGGACGGAGACCATCTTCTCCCAGTGCAGCCTCAACTGGGGGGTCCACAACTGCAACCACGAGGAAGATGCTGGAGTCGTGTGCTCAGGTGGTCCTTGAGGAGGGAACACTCAAGATGTCCCAAAAAACAGGGGTTTTCTCCAGGATTGGGAAGGGTAGGATGGGCCTGGGTGGGGGACATCAGTGATGGGAATGAGCTCGGAGGCAGCTGGAGGAGGTGCAGCAGGTCCAGGTGATGTGGCCACACGTGTCCATCCTTAGAGTCACAGAGCAGTGGGGTTGGCAGGGACCTCTGGAGATCACCTGGTCCAATCCACTGGAGAGCAGGATCATTTACAGTAGATTCCCCCAGGAACAAGTCCAGAAGGTTTTGGGATGTCTCCAGAGGAGGAGACCCCACCACCTCTCCATGCAGCCTGTCCCAGGGGGGAAGAGTCACAGTGGGGTGGGGGCTGGAAGGGACCTCAGACCTGGGACAAGGTCATGGAGTGATGGGACAAGGGGGGATGGCTCCAAACTGACAAAGGGGACATTTAGGTTGGACACTGGGAGAAAATTCTTCACCATGAGGTGGGGAGAGCCTGGCCCAGGTTGCCCAGGGAAGCTGTGGCTGCCCCATCCCTGGGGGTGTCCAAGGGCAGGTTGGATGGGGCTTGGAGCAGCCTGGGCTGCTGGAAGGTGTCCCTGCCCATGGTGGGAATGGATGATCTTGAGATCGTGGGAGGTTTGGGTGGGAAGGGACCTTCAAGCCCAGCTCAATGATCCACTAGATGCTCCTCAAGGTGGTTCCTCAACCCTGGGGGTGTCCAGGGCAGGTCGGGTGGGACTTGGGGCACCTGGGCTGCTGGGAGGTGTTAGGACTGGATGGACCTTAGATCTTGGAAGGGTTTGGGTGGGAAGGGACCTCAAAGACCACCTGGATGATCCATAGATGCTCCTCAAGG